GRAAAAAWWWWAAAAACTTTAGATAAAGAGCTAAATTCGATTATCYGACGAAATTCAAGTGGATTGCCGGACGAAAAAAATGGGAAATAATGTATAGCAAACGTAAACTCCTAAAAYGTCATTGAAAATCTTATGAGACCAATATCAGTTCTTCCCAAAATATGGGAAAACAGACCGCGAAACTGATGWCCAGARCTATGTAAATCATTTCAGACTGAACCAAATCRTAATATTACTATAAATATTCTCTCTTCCATGTTTTCTCCTCCTTCATCCCTTGCCTCTCGCTTCACCCATGTTGACCATATATGGTACCTTGTCGCGTCTGGTCCTCTCAAATTAAAACTCAGAGTCGTTTCCAAGCTCCAGAAAGACGTCGTAGGCCTCACGGTTGCAGTTTCCATCGGGTGTGAAGACGTATTTGTGGAATGTGCCATCAATGCATACAGCTACAAGGAAATATTTAACAGAGACGTTAATACAGACCTATTTAGCAATATATTTGATAAGAGTATAAGCTATGTCCTGGGTAAGTTAGGGCCATACAGAAGAGCTAGGGAGAGGTAATATAGGCACAAGGGCGAAAAAGAGACTCCTTACCAATCACTGAGCTAGCCTGACCAAACGCGCATAGACAAGCCACTTCAGCAGGTACTGTAAAGCTTGCTAAACCCCATTGAGACTCAACATACTGGCCAAGAAAACCAACCTTGGAGAGACTACAAAACAAAGGGTTATATATGGCAAGCAGTGGGATCCCTGTGGTTCATGAGCAAAGGGTTATATGGCAAGCAGTGGGATCCCTGTGGTTCATGAGCAAAGGGTTATATATGGCAAGCAGTGGGATCCCTGTGTTCTATGTATCTTTACCTTGATCTTTTATTGAGCTTAGTATCTTTGAGAGCAAAGATATGTACTGTTCCTTTGTCACTTGAAACGCACAAAAAACCTGAATCGTGGCTGAAGTTAATACTGTTGAAACAAAAGACACATTACAGGAGATGAGTGAAGATATCAGTAAAAATAAGTCAATTTAAAGCGACAAAAACCCACACTATTTTATATAATTTATACCAGTCCCCTCTTATGGTCATACAAAAACCTTAAAACGAACTAGAGCTTAGTACCTCTCTACCAGCGACAACATAGGAACCCCAAATACGTATAATGTACTTACCAATACAGTGTGGCAGGATCTGCACCTCGTCTCAGCTCAATCAACTGATTTCTAGACTGCGCATCGAAAACTCTTATTAAGGTTCCCTAAAATGATACCAAAAAATAAGATGGGGTCACGCCAGTACACTGAATCAAGCCGAGGAATCTTAATAAGTGATCATTGTATTGATGGCAATGAATCCTATATTTCGTATATTTATTYAGAGTAAAGAAAAGAAAATCCAAAGATTAGAAATGACTATCAGAGATAATCAATTCAAAAATGATGATAATCAATACGCACAAAAAGCGCGCACGGCGGTTAGTTTATTGTTGCGTGACAACGACTCAAATCATTGCAGGCTGACTGTTGTAGTATTGTCTMATTTTCAAAATATCAAGTCATTCTAGAACAAGATCRACTGTTATTTATCAACAAACATAACTGACTTAGTTAGCTCATAGTTATGGTTAGCTAGATGCTTACACCTTGCATAATCATACTTGAAATGACGGCTTCTTTGACTATTGTTGTCAGTTGGYTTTSCTTTTGGCGCCAAAATACAAAGAACGCCGAGCGTGACAAAGAAACTGAACCCAGATCTTTCTAAAGCAAAATACGGTTCTAATTCCTAAATCCATGTTTTTAAGTATTCTGAAAAGTTGTAGTTTGATTTTATTTGCTTTCTACAAAATTCCTCAATTCCTGTGGAAACACTAGAAGATGGATCTACGATGACAAAGTTTTCCTTCAGCGGACTTTATGTGTTGCTTTACGCGTCCTCAAAAACGTTGTATATCACGCAGCTCAACAAACTCTTTTTGCATTTCAAAATTAGAAGCAGCCACTACAAAAAAACTTAATGTTTCTTGTGTTAAATTAATGGCACAGAATGAGGCGCAATGAAAGCTCATATTGCCATAAACAAATCTACAAGAATGAGTGTCGATCTACACAGGCGAAATAGCCTCTCACTTACAATTAGCATCGGTTTTAATTTATGTTCGACAAGCATTTGATCATAATCTTTCGATTCATGTGGTGGCTCCTAAAAGAGCCGTTGTTTTNTGAACATAACACAATCATTACTAAACTGATAATGTATTTGAGACGAATGCAAGCGAAACAGCATTTAAAAATACTTTGATGTTACATCAAGGCTTTGATTGTTCTTTATTTAAGAGGAGCAAGGTCCAGTGTGGAYTGATTTGTGCATAGTTTAATGTCAATTGCATTTGCTACAAAAAGTATTTTATGACAAGAAAGAACACCAATCTCATGTGCCCTTCATTGGCGCTGTTGACGTGACACGAAYAATTAACGGTCGCATAAGCTTTGGCGCCAAATCTTCCCTACTAGCCTACGAGAGACTCTGCGCAAACGGAAACTTTAATAGTAGTTCTAGCTCTATATCTATGAAAACTCTACACTGACACTTCAAGTAAAGCCACAACTGGGTATTCGTTATGTAAAAACAGCATCAATAAGATTGCGCGCGTTATGTGCTTTTACAGAACCGTTAACTTATATCTCGTAGTATCATTTCTTTGCTTACTAAGTTTAAAGTAACATCATATTCTCTGCTTTATTTTAGCAAAATATCATGGACTTTATGTCATGTAAAAGAGCCGTTGTTTTTATGAGACGAAGTTTAAAGTAACATCATATTCTCTCTGCTTTATTTTAGCAAAATGTGATTGACTTTATATCATGTGGTGGCTCCTAAAAGAGCCGTTGTTTTTATGAGATGATCAAATCATCTAACCACCAAATCCGTACAGGGTACGTCCTTGGCGTTTCAGAGCGTACACGACGTCCATGGCAGTGACGGTCTTTCTCTTGGCGTGCTCGGTGTAGGTAACAGCATCACGGATCACGTTCTCAAGGAAGACTTTAAGGACGCCACGGGTCTCTTCGTAGATCAAGCCAGAAATACGCTTGACTCCACCACGGCGAGCAAGACGACGRATGGCGGGCTTGGTGATACCCTGGATGTTATCCCGAAGGATCTTACGATGACGCTTGGCGCCTCCTTTTCCTAGACCTTTGCCTCCTTTGCCTCTACCAGTCATGATTACTAAAATTGGTTTCTCAGTAGAATGATGAATTCAATGTAGATGTCCAGGGTATATAAAGAGGACTGCGAACCTCTGAGAAAACGGTGTATAGTGCAATCTGATTGGCTGTTTGTAGTGACAATAACAGCACGTTGTAGCCACCTCATTAATTATGTTAATGACACTGATGACATTGATCCTGTATTCATGTCTATATTTGTGAAACGCAAAGTATGAAGCCAAGTTTTCGCTATAATTAAACCACACAATGAAGTCAAACGAAGTGAAGGTACACKTCAATTGATGATCTATCGGTGGCTTACCTTTTGCGTTAAAATTATTAGACAATCGGCTTCATTTTCAAAGAGGAAAATTTTTGAGCTTTGTGTTTCAACAGTTAATGGATCAGGGGGATCAAAMGCTAACCAATCACAACCAAGGACRTCTTAATTTAGCCAATCACAGGGCAAGGTTTACTCGTCCAATCAGAATTAAGGGCGCTCAATATAAATTTCTAACTTCCAAAAAGTAGATTTATCAGTTTTGTTCGTTTTACAAATCGATATCATGGCTCGTACAAAGCAAACCGCTCGTAAATCAACCGGAGGAAAGGCTCCCCGAAAACAACTCGCCACCAAGGCAGCACGTAAAAGTGCCCCAGCAACTGGTGGAGTCAAGAAACCTCATCGTTACAGACCCGGTACAGTCGCTCTTCGTGAGATCCGTCGTTACCAGAAATCTACCGAGTTGTTGATCCGCAAGCTGCCCTTCCAGCGTCTCGTCCGTGAAATCGCTCAGGACTTCAAGACCGATCTYCGCTTCCAGAGCTCTGCTGTCATGGCCCTTCAGGAGGCTAGCGAGGCTTACTTGGTTGGTCTGTTCGAGGACACCAACTTGTGCGCCATTCACGCCAAGAGAGTCACCATCATGCCCAAGGACATTCAACTTGCCCGCCGCATCCGTGGCGAGAGAGCTTAAGCTAGTTCTCAATCAAACAAAACAACGGCTCTTTTAGGAGCCACCACATGCTTATAGAGTCAATGATTTGYAATGTTGTCCAGCTTAAATATTCACAACAGTAACCCCTTTCTAGTCTGTAGCATAGAACATACATACAAGGACAAAATGAAACATACAAACGATTGGTTTTCGCTTCCACCTTAAGTTTATTACCGAAGGTCGCCTACAAATAAAGGCGAACCAAATCGCGTACCGTAAGAGTTTGACTTAAGGCGCTCATCGATTGAGAGTGCATAGCCGTTRCCTTCATTGTTTTGGCGCCAAAACGTTTTCAACGGTCTAAAATTGTCACGAATTCTAGGCGGATAGAAACTCRTGATATTCCTGGCTTACATGTTATATTGTACAAGGGTACAAGTAAAAAGCATATGCTAGTACCAATAAAAACTAGAAAATTTGCTTTGACTAATATTTCATCAATTCGTCACGATGAACTCGATTGACACARTATRTTTAGAGTGATGTATGGCCATTATGGTGTCAATTGTAACGAACGAAACGCACGCTAGGTGACAAYAGCTAAATATGTGATAAAACACGTRAATCCTTTCAAATCCTTTTACGTAAACTAAAAAACGCTGTCAGGAATGAAATAATGCGTGTATTCTAGTTAGTTTGAAGCCAAGAATCAATATACTATCCAATCGAACCATCTGATGAAACGTTCTATCCCCGTACTATCTATMCCTCCTAAGGCTACTAATCAAAAGTCACTGTTATGAACTCACTACAATTTAGAATGAAATATAGGAGTTTTATAATAAAGAATTACTGAGTTCTAAAATCGCAAGCATTTTGGTAGCAGTTAACGCTGACAAGACGGAACTCTGCGCGAAACAAAGAGCAAGCCATTCTATCAGTAGAACAACAAATCTTCAGAATCGTTGACTGTTAAAGGAATTTTAAACCTTAACAATGAATTTCCTTTTAATAAAGTATATTAGTGTTTTTTTTTTTAATCTTATACACCTGGTAAATAAGAAGAAAAAGAACAAAAAGATTTTGGCGGTAAAACTTTATGATCGATTGCGTGTCATGGCGTCGMTCAATTCGGATGTGTTTGTTGTTGGTACGAAAACTCAAAATTCTCTTTAAAACTCGATCATTGAACTAAAATAATACCATACACTGGTTGTGAGATKAATATTCTTTCATTTTGTACGAAAAGTTAAGGTATTCACGCTTTTAGTGATGAATAAGAAGTCTAAATATCCAAGCACAAGAGCAAGCGAACACTTCAATGTCCACAAAAAGGCGAATAACTTTGTTGGAKAAAACTATTTCTCACCAAAATTACGTAAGGGCAACCTTGATGAGTTGCTTTACCGATKTAGATTAATAAAATATAGAGGTAAAGTCCATATGAGCGAAAACAATTGCTCAAAGTTGACCAACAAACACATATCGGTCGCCGCCATAGTGTCAGTATGTTGTGCTATACACTGTTTCCACGGAGGTCCGTTGMCGTGTATATATACCCACTCCGCAGAGAAAGGRTTACCATTTTACTTTTGTAAGCAAACACCRATTTAATTACCTTTGTAAGGAAATACAGCTATAGAATCTGAAAATGTCTGATGCAGCAAAGAAAGCCAAGAAGCCGGCAAAGGCCCCAGAACATCCTAAGTACAATGACATGATCGCCGCGGCCGTGACWTCTTTGAAGGAACGCAGTGGTTCTTCCCGCCAAGCGATCGTCAAGTACATCAMAGCAAACTACAAGGTTGGCGATAACGCTGWTACTCATGYCAAAATGGCCCTTAAGCGTATGGTAAACCARGGAAAACTTGTTCACACGAAAGGCACGGGCGCYTCTGGATCTTTTAAACTGGCCAAGAAGGACAAAGCAGAGCCGAAGAAGAAGAARCCCGCTGCCAAGAAACCTGCAGCGAAAAAGAAGCCAGCCGCTAAGAAAGTCGCAGCGAAGAAATCAACTCCWAAGAAGGAAGCCAAGAAGCCAGCCAAGAAAGCAGCCGCTAAGAAAACTACTCCAAAGAAAAGCAAAGCAAAGAAACCAGTCGCCAAAAAACCAGCGGCAAAGAAGCCAGCAAAGAAGCCTGCTGSCAAGAAACCCGCAAAGAAACCGGCGGCCAAGAAGGCTGGAAAGAAATCAGCCAAGAAGTAGATTACATTCTACCACAAAAAACAAACGGCTCTATTAGGAGCCACCCACATGCTTAAAAGTCAATTCCTCAAAATGCTTGAAATAGTCATTGACAATTAATTCTAGTCGATGTAGAACTGCATTTCTACATAAGCCTTTGAGAAGAGTGTGTGTGTGTTTTGAAAGTTTCCATCGTACCTTTTAAAAATGAAAACTTGCATTATATCTTAACACCAGAAATAACATTGAGTAAGCATGTTGTTTTTGAAGATAAGACATGACTTTTGTATTCTCCATGACAGCTTATCCAAGAAATCATTTACACAACAACTTCTTTTCCCAAAATCATCTATTCAATCTCTTTACTCCGACGAAGGATTAACATCCGAAACGTCAGTAAGTTATTCCACATTACAACATCAAAAAAAAAAGAAAAAAAGAAAAAAAGTTATTCCACATACTTTTTTACGGTGTTAAATTTATCTTTTTACATAACTATTCAATAGAAATATTTTTCTCTTCCAGACCATAGCCTGCATACTCCTGTTTATTTTCAAAGCTAACCTTTCTCAGACAGTGTTTATGAGTAAACGTCAGATGAAACTGAGGCAAAGACTAYCATAGCCTTAGCTTTATGTTGTTTGAAGAGACTTTGAAAACTACTCATTGTGAAGTGACACTTTCCTAATGCAAGAAATAATATGCAAGTAGTTTTGTGCATTAACAAGTTAGAAATATCAGAGTTAAAATACCTTGATGTGCGTAAGTGTTCAAAGCATCGCARTATATAKTGATTTTCATTGCCATTWCAGGGATGGTGACGTTGATAGAAACAAGTTCAATGATACACATCAAAATGTAACCTACCTGTTGCGAGGCTGTGGCTAGTTGCGTTCCTTGTTGATTGACAGCCAAGCAAGCTAATTCTCCTTTGTGCGCATTGATAGTGAATGGTGCTGATGATGAGTCTGGTTGCCTGTTGCTAAGATACTGAAAAACAAATACAAATCACAACATTGATCATGATACTGAATATTGTCTTTTTTTTACAAATTCTATTTCATTATGATATTTCATTTAATACCTAAAACATTAATGAACTTTTCTTTCTCTTTACTGTGTCATAATTTCTTTGTACTTACAATTAACTGAACACTTCCACATTTGTGTGCAGGAAATACCATTAAAGGTCTTTCTGTACTTGGACTAACTTCACATAAACCTAGATTTGAARTAATAATATGTGACCATAACATTGAGTCTAATGTTTCTTTAGAAAAATAGATGCAGCTCATACTGCCTGCAGTTTACTGCTAGTTTTCACCAAATGTTTGCATGGTCAATATTATAGAAATATAATGAAATGGTAATAGTTTTGTTAATGTGCAAGAGCACCAGCAATAAAATTCAAGCAAACAAGAGTGCAAACATTAAAAAAAGCTAAATTGTGAGGACAAGAAAAAACAACGACAAGGAATTTGCATAGCTCAATAAAATATTTAGCACTATACAAATAATAGTTATATTGTTTGRAATGTCCACAACTGATAATTGTATTATGTGGTGTATGATAGACTTAGCTATATCTGTGCTTGGCATTCTCATATTGTAAYGTTGTCTCTCTTCACAGTTGATTTTTGAATGTATATCATTCCTTTTTTCTGGATTTGTTACATAGCAGTACAAAAGACAGGACACATGAAAAGTGGTCCTTGTAAGTTTATCTATACCTTTAGGATTATCTCTAGTGTCCAGATCCAGTAGTTTCTGCAGATTGTTTGGAAAAGTGTACACATGGACTTTATTACGTAGAACAACTACCAGTTGATCTCTACGTAGTCTAACTGTCATCACTGGTGAGCCATATGTCAATTCAAGAACCATCTTCTTTAGGGTGTCATCCCAGATACAAACTTCAATAGAATTGAACATCAAAATACAGTCAATCAACAACTTATTCAAGTTAAGTGACTGATAGTAATATTGTCTGGAATTCCAGGAACCCTGGTAATAAATATATCTTTTGTAATACCTTTGTTATTATTATATCTTGCTCCTAATCCGGTGCCTACAATGGCCAGGAGGTTAGTTCTATATAGCATATGTACTTGGGAGACATGGTACAACTCATTCACCTCTACAAAAAGAAAAAGGTCAACCATTAGTCAGTCACCTTAAATAAGTACAATAATAGTGATGAGAGGACTCTTCTAACAGGGTCATAAAGGGGTAAAATGGGGCTGAGATTAGCCMTATTTGAAAACTTGAGCAAGATGAGATTCTGTGATTTTTTAATTCAGATATGGTCCAAATACTGCATTTAATAGTCAACACTAGCATGCTTCTAAGAGATTTTGAATAAGCTATATTTTGTACTTATGCAGAGAAATCCCTTAAAAAATTTGTTGATGATATCATGAAAATAATATTCTTTACCAACATATACCAACCTAATCTAGCTTTCTCTGATAATGGTTCTGTATTGTAGACTCTTAATCCACCATCAACAGTGCACACAAAACATCCTATAAAGTAGAAATTATATTTATTAAAAAATCAAACTAATCAGTAGCAAAACAGCTCAAATAGTACAACAAAATGGAAGAGAAGATAACGATAATTCAAATATACACAAAAATGAAAACAAGAAATTAGGCTGACATGACGACATTATCTATTCTTACAAAAAAATCCCCTCGTATTTTTTTSATSTTTTATGTGCCTAATATTTGACAATTTACAAAATTGTTTGTACTAAATGATCAAATACGTACCGTGGTCTTGATTAAACGCAATATGTGTTACTTCTGTCTGCATTTTCAGYGATTTTTGACGAGTTTTATTGCGATGTCAAACTTTCACATCTACTCCGCCATCTTTGTTTTTGTGGATAGCTTAGTAGCCAGGCTTAGTTACAAAAGGTAGCTCTCCGAGGGAGGGGTAGGGAACGCCAATCTGTTGCGCAGATCTTTGAGAGAACAAGAAAAGAAAATTATGAATGTGTCCGTATAATTTGTTTGTAATAGTTTTACAAATCGAAATGGTAACATGACTGTGGAAATTATGAAACTTTGTGTAATGATGGGTGCAAACTCTTCCCGGCACTAGTACTTTCTGAAATGGTCAACTGAAAGGGAAAACAAAGCTTTATTCGTTAGTTTTAGCCTTGTGAGATTTACGGGATGCAATACAGAATTTCACTCTATTTTGTCCTGRCAAGTACTGTCAATCTGTCAATCAATCAGGCATACAGTCAGTTAATCACGGTCTATCACCAATCAAACCATTCAACAAACATTAAAAACTTTATTTCTTAAGTGATAAAGTAGTAACAGTTTTGGATAACTAAGCCCGCTTTTTTGTGATTCACATAAATGATTCCCATGTACGAGACCTAACGAAGCAATATTTAAAAAGTTCATTGTGATTCCTATATAAGACGGTCAAGTCAAAACTGCATATAGACATTGTGTGATCCATTAGCCTCAGAGAAATACTGATCAAAATACACTGATCACAGACATGAAAAGTCGGATTTAAAGACATGAGGTAGTCTATATATTGCTAGATGTCTTCCTTGCCAAGCCAAACTACCCAAGCCACACCCRTGACATTTTCCACTTTCCCAGCGACTGAACGCTGCTCACCATCAATTATAAAGATTGCACTCTCAGCCGATGCAGGAGTTGCTAGGAAGTGCGCATGGCCCTCGCATCCAATCACTATGTCGCGTTTTGTATGTAGCCAGTCTTTTCCCATATTTGGTGTGCCTAAGCTTGTAAGCACCTCTAGTATCTCCATACCGGACGGATTTAGATGAATGACCACAATGCTTTGCGAATCCTTAGACGTCACATACACGTCATATCCGTAATCTCTAGGAATGAAAGCAACGTCACTCAAAAGCATATTTGTTTTGATTGGCTCTCCYAATTCTATTGTTCCATCATGGTTAAAGTAAACCGCTGACAGCGTGTGTTCATTTAGCGTCAGTACAAATCTCCCGTCAGGGGAGGCATGGGGAATTCCTATGTTGATTGTTGTAACAGCGACCACTTCTTGTGTCTTCAGGTCGACGATAAATTGACGTCGTTGGCCGCCATCTTTAGMGGTGTAACAGTGGGCTATTGCGTGACCGGTCGTGACGGATAACGCAAACCCATATGTTCCATGACAACCGTGAATACTGAGGTTAAAAAATCGCGCGATTTCTTTCTCCTTCAAATTAACTTCATGAAAACCTGGCTCATCTAAGTACGTGACATAACCAAACTTCTCCTCATCACGCGTGTGACAAGTGTCTGTTATGTGAAGACCATATATGGGATTTTTTGTAGTTACTTGCGTGACATAATGGGGCCCTTTTTGAGTTGCCTTAGATAGTACATGAATCGTACCGTTGTCACCTTCTTCTTCAGTAAGATCWTCTAAAGCAGTAGTTAATCCAGAAAACCATAGTTCATCTGATGTTTCCACATACTGAGGTTTATATGGATACGTATTCGTACCGATCACTTCCACCACTAAAAGGCTCTCCAMGTCAATCACAATRAGCCTTCGTCCTTGAGAATCAGCGGCAAATATTTTCTTATTCCCTGCATTCACAGCMCCWCCCCATGTACAAGGCTTTTGTGGGGTTCCTGTGCATGTGGTTGACTGAGAACTACCAATGACATCGGTAGCTTTGATGTGCTTTACCAATGATGATAAGTTCTCTGGGTCGATTACGTAGATACCATCATTTCCAAATGCAAAGAGCAGATTGTTGATTTTCTTAGGACCTGCAAAAAAATACATGAAACCAGAACGGATTACTTAAAACTATTTACGATAGGACTTGGGGAGTGACATCTCGAGAAGTGCAGATTTTACCCTCTTTCTGGAAAAGTCCGCGCAACTGATTTGTGTTTGCGGCGAGTTGTGATTGTCCCCAAGTGTTATATAACTTGAAAACGCACGTCTCAAATTAGTGTGTTTCAGTTTCTTGATTTTGACGATATAAAGGAGTCCCGTCAATTTGTCATACCTGCGAGTTTTTCTGATTCTTTATCAATAGCCATTGGCTCTTTTGGCTTCTCTGTAAAAACTTCTAGATTTACATCTTGCTCTTGAAGTTTTTCGCTATCTTTCTTGGAAGCATCTCCTTTGGAGACTATTATTTCAGAGTGTCTGTAGTTTTCTAAAGCAAAATTTGTAATAGTTTTGTTGAATAAGTGTAAGGGATAGTGCAATATTTAAAAAAAGTTAATCTAGCAMACGTAAATTGTCTTTTCAAGCACGTTTTTTGATGTTTGGTAACGATAGTCACACAATTATTTGAAGCTGCCCTCTTGATCCAGCTTCCGCGATGGCTGATCATCACTCTCATCTGTTCAATCATCAATATGTTTGGCTTTCCATCGATCGCTATGCTTACCTTGATTGACAGTACATCGATTACCCCAGTCGATTTTAATCTTAGTCTTAGTAACACAAGCTGTTCTGTGAAGCTCACAGTGATTCTCATATTGCTTGCCATCAGAACCGCACACTGGTTTGTGTCTTGATGGACATTTAGAAAGACAGACACACACTTCTTTTCCTTCCTGTAGAGARCATTCACGACCAGATGGGCACCACTTGAAACATCCTGAGAATTTAGAACACAAGACAAGACTCACTACAGTGGACACACTAAATCCGTGAAACAAAGTGCTCATTAAAGAATAGAAATAAAAGGAATTACAATATTTTAGTACAATTTAGTTGTATTTTAGGTTCACGGATTTAGGTGCGTTGGTTCTATCTTTAAACAGGGGAGGGGCGTGCAGGAGAAGGAAAGAAACAAGTTGCTGTGCATTATCGGGAAAACGTTTAGTCACCCCGGAAATAAGTATCAATTTAGATTGTGGCGMGCGATAAATTTCGTACCAAGGATAATGCTTTTTAATACTAAGCCTCTTTAGATACAAAGTCCACCAGAAAAACACATTTTATGTCTTCTTTGTAACAAAGGCTATAATTATGATCAGGTTTATTTTATAAATACGACAATCTATGTACTTACTTTTGCTCTTATAAAGTTGTATCAGCTCTGATTGTGGACTGTAGTACGAAGCCCTAATGACAACCTGTATGGATGGAATAAGAAAGTCATTTTAGAGRAAATGCGCTGAAAGAAAACATTTATGAAAGGATGTCATCCACAACGAACAAATTGTGACTAATCAGGAGCAGAAATAGGATGTAACTCCAGACACACATCTTTTAGACTACATTGAGACTAGTTATCAAATGTCATTTGCGCGCAATAATTGGGGGGGGGGGGATACCTAAATACTATTGTTGCTTACTGAAATCGCCGATACTGGCGATGTGATGGGTTATCCTAAGCCTGCTGAACAACCTAATTTGTCGAAGCAGCTTAGGTAATGGGAACCCTGCTAAACACTGATTACTGTCAAGATAATAAACGCTTCTACTCTGTAATTTAAAAGGGAATTCAATGCTTTACGCGCAAAGAATCAAAGTTTTTTTTACGAATTTCATGTGTTGTTATTTTAATCTATCATTATGGAAAGCTTTTGGTGTTGTTATTAAGATTTGCTAGCTTATCAGCAGGGGTACTTAATTAAATATTTAGAAAACCTATATATTTTTAGATCTTTTGAATCGACGTGCATGTAATTTCACTATATTAATACATTAACACTACACCAATGATGACCACTGATGAGCCAGTAGTGCTTTCTCCCCACCAGTTAAGAAAAACAAAAATGAAAAACCTTAAGTGAATTTCAATTAATAGTTAATCATTTTAATCGAAAATACTGATAAAATACAAATCATCTTATTGTAAAAAGGTGATCACGTGGTTTTGCTTGTCAGACAAGGCAGCTGTACTGTATCTTTTAAATGGCAGTTTCCGCACATGCTATGGCATGAACTTAATTCTTCCCAATTTCTTAATATGGATGTTATATTTTTTCATTTGCTTCAATACACATTGGCAGCCAACACAATAGTAACCCCCGACTGTTKCAARTATAAACACTGCGAAATTAATATGCAAACTATWAWGGTTTTAGAGACGAAGTTTAGAAAAAGCGGCGGATGTGCCCAAGTAATTGCTTTCAAACTWAAAACGAGAATTGAATCACAAGGAGGATGATATAGTTTTGAAATATTATGTTGCTCACAGTAAAAAAATCAACATTTATAACAGGGCTAGTTGTAGAGTATATTTCTACCCTTGTCTTTGCTAACATAATCGATAAATTCTTTACTGCATGCGATGGTGGTATAAAAGGCTTAAAGTGTTACTGGTGTTAAAATAAAAAGAAAACATATTATATTATATGGCAATGTGCATATACCTGATGTAGAAGAAAGACTTGAAAAGCGACACAAATTGCTACCATACGTCGCATCTTTTGCGTGTGTTCTTCACCACGGTCACTTAGGAATGTAAACTTAAGAACACAAAGCTGCTTTGCCGACCCTTTGTATACCAGAAGTAAGACAAGAGGATGATTGTTTTTCTTTGAAGGCGACGAAGCAGAAATGATGCTGTGAAACTTAATGCAAATTTAATATCAAAGGCTGACTTCAAACCGCTGCGCACAATTCAAGTGCTCCATGAGATAAAAAATCACTAGGTAAACATAATTATCATTTACTTCCGGTACCAAATACAAAGACTGCTAGWAAGGTACGCTGGGAACGAGGGAGTTAGGCTGCAATGCAACTCATACTAGTAAATCCGTTGTGCWAAAGTTTTTTACATAATATGCGATCCATTTTTTCTTTGTTTGTGTTATTTTTCTTATGCACATTACAGGAATACTTCGATCTCAAAGCTTCTATCTCTCTCATTCGTTGTTTTGTGACGAAAGGCCTTATGGGGTCTGGAGTGACCGAACCGTAACCATCCACTTGTAGCAGGCGTTCCTTGCGACTCCTTGATATGTTTAATTTGAAAAGAAAAAAAAATCTAYAGAGGAAAAGAAAACAACAGCAAAGAAAAAAGTATGAAAAGAAAAGAAAAAAAGAAAGAAGAAAAGAAAACAAGAAACAAAAGAAAAAGAAACAATAAAAAGAAAAAAAAGAGAAATTCCAGCAACAGGATTCGAACTCAGGACTTTCACTTCAGTAAAAGCTGCACCCCCCGGAATAAATAAGAAATAAAGAAAATAAAAAAACTAAAAAGATGGGACGATTCCCCCGAGACATTCTATGAAGCTGAGGCGGCGAATCGGCTTACGTTACGGTTAGAGATTTCGGCCCTTCCACGCTATCCCGAGTGAACATAAAACTTAGTCTTAACCAAAAGGCCAGGGAGTGAGGGGGTAGCCGCCCACTAGAGCATACCTTTAGCTACCCTCTTAGACCATCGTACTATGAAGACACTTAARATATCTGATATCTAATTGGGGTAGTCTATTCGGTGAAGTTCTATGCTAATATATGACGTCACGAAAATCCTTAGGGAGCAGCGAGCCAATGAGAGCTCAGCTCAGGAATGTGCAAACGATATAGGCTTTGCATAATTATTCTTCAGTGAATATATTATTTGATGAGGGAGTTTCCCCCGKAGGGTCCAGGGGCTGGGTCGAAATGCAGCGACCGAAACTTTGCCCCAGTCTCCCTAGTGCGCAGACATTTCGCAATTCAAGAGTCTGGGACCTCACCCGGTKATTTCAAGCTCATTAGAAAGACAAGACTGTTATTTCGCTATATTTTGCCTCATTATTTATCGAAAATGGCACGACAAATCCCTCTATCATGTAGTGGACACACTAGACCTGTTGTAGATTTATCTTTCTCAGAAAATACGCCCTATGGATACTTTYTAATCAGCGCATGTAAAGGTGAGAACTTTTCTTGTGACTTAAGATGATAACCAAAATTCATATCCTTTGAAGCATTTCTTTTATACTGTATAAACTTGGATAGTATTTGCCGACTGRTTGTATTAGAAGCGATGYGGATTTGACATTAAATGYRTGGAAGAAAGTACAAAAGGCCGGTATTTTGTCTGCGATTGCATGACAGTATCAACAAGAACAAGGAACGATTGATGTCGATTTCGGTTTCGCCGGTGTTCGGTGAACAATTGACCAATTCTTAATGTTAAATACTTTCTATTTTTATGAAATTACTGAAAATGTAAATTTCAATTCATATATTTGAAGAGTATACATTCATTTATTAACTTTGATCTATTCGCTGTCAGTTTCCAGACAACTATAGTCAATATTGAACAGTTTCGTGACCTCTCCCCTACTGGGTCATAATATATTTCCTAATATATTTCAGATTATTTTACATGATTTTATTTCCGAGTTAAAGCTTAGTAAAAAATGATGGATTCTTAAGGGAATTTCTGTGACCGTGAAAGGTTGTCATGCCATAACAAGCAATATCCTGGCAGTCAAAATGACAAGATCTTATCGAGGTCTTATTGGTTTAGTAACTTATAAGCATTCAAATTGGCCAAAATAGACAGCAACAATTTTTGATCGTGAATTGCCTTTCATTATTTTGATCTACCATCTGTTTATCTAGYAAGAGAATCCTCAAATGAGAACTACAGTGAGAGGATTTCACTGAGATTTCACTATTTGTGTTTCTAAGCTGTGTTTCAACCATACATAAGTTATATTTATATTCATTTGTAAGGCTTTTCAAGCAACATACCATATCTCTAAAATGTAATGTTAATTATGTAACATGCACTCTACCTAGAATTTTAAAGGATAATATTTATTTTACAGATGGTAAACCCATGTTGCGGCAAGGTGACACTGGTGATTGGATAGGGACATTTGAAGGTCATAAAGGCGCAGTATGGAGTGCATCATTAAACAAAGATGCAACTAAAGCTGCAAGTGGCGCTGCTGATTTCTCAGCTAAAATATGGGATGCAGTAACTGGAGATGAGCTTTCCAGTTTACCACACAAACACATTGTAAARACTGTRGATTTTTCATCGGTATGTACATATAACTTACACMCTTATAAKAATCAASAATTYAAGAACCTGTTAGTCTTGAATTGCCAATTTATACCACAGCCCCTTTGCATTTTATGAATCTAAAATGACCCCATTTTCCCCTTTCCTCAGACCTTCAGAATATATTTAGCCTAAATTATTTTGACACTGGTTCTTACAACTGTGTGATTTGTGTGTTTTTCTAATGGAACAGTAAAAAAATTAATTATAAAAAAGCTTACTCTTAAATCTTTATACAACAGGATAGTAATCTTCTATTGACTGGTTCTAAYGAGAAATTACTCAGAATATATGACCTGCAAAAGATAGACGCAGGTAAGTTATTAGTTAACTATCAATTAAAGAATCATAACCAACCACCGTACCTTGCGAGCCGAAGCACCATTTTAGGTGGACACGGAAATGGTGGATTCGTAGGATTTCTTAAAGTGAGTGCGAATCGTCTTCTGTACTTTCAGTTTGGACAGAAATAACTTTACCTCATAGGTACTATCAATCTATAATTTATTGTATGCTTAACACATCTAAACGTATGTAAACAATAATACGAGCATGCAAGGTACGGCAGTTGGTTATGATTCTTTAATAGTCATAATAGAAGTAATGGTGATTTTATGATGTATTTCAGAGCCTCAAGTGTTAAAAGGCCATACAGCAAACCTACGTAAAGCACTATGGAATAAGGACAATACCCTTCTATTTAGTGGAGGAGAAGATAAAGTTATCAGGTACAAACTGACAAAATTCCAGGATGCACAGGCATTTCCAGGAAAAATATTTGTATGAGAATGAAAACTTGAACTTCTCGCAGCTGTTTCCAGTAGAGGATTAAGGAGACAGCACTGGGAAGGGTTGCAATAATTCCAATGAAAACTAGGAGAAAAGCAGACAATCTTCAGAACAGTGCACCATCTTGTTTTTGTGCATAGTTCGCAATATTTTTAAAAGCATCCATAGATCTAGGAAAAAGTGTGTCCAATTTCATATAATCTAAGAAAAGACATGATTTTCTTCAGGGTTTGGGACGTACGTACCTTAGAGAATACTAAAAACATAGACATGGTTAAYCCAATCACAAGTATGGAACTCAGCGCTGATGGTAGTATACTTGTAGTAACCCAAGGAAGAACAGTAGCATTCTGGGATGCCTTCAGGTTGGTTTGATTTCACACGAAATATCCAATGTAAACTAAAATACATCCAATATTGGTGTTATTTGGTTTATCAAAGATACACTAATGTAAATAAACAGTATCACTGGCTTTGAAAATTACCCTAAATGTTTCACATAACTTGTGTGCTTATTTCTGGGCCCAAAACATAAAAATATATATTATATARCTACATGTATTTTGTATAAATATACCGGTACTTAACTACAATATTTTTGCAGCATGGAACTGATCAAACAATTTGATGCTCCAACGATGGTCTACTCGGCCTCACTTCATCCTAACAAGTCATGTTTTGTTGTCGGTGGTGAGGATTTCCAGTTGTACAAGTTTGACTATGAAAATGGAAATCAACTAGGTAATAGTAATGTTTATATTTATATTATATGGGGCAAGGAAGCATCATTGTGACTGGGATCACCCTGAGCTTATACTACTGATGTCCTCTTAGTGTAGACATAAGAAAATCAATCTCTAAGGCTTCACTCAAATCAGGATGAATAACTCCTTCATCCAAGTGGCCTTGTTGGGAACCCTGTGTAGTAATGACAAGGCATGATGGGATTGTTGATTGGGGTTGTTGGTGTTSTRGTTCAGGTTCAATATGATWWTGAACCAGKTCAATTTCTTCTGAACTGGTTAGTTTGTACTCAAAACATAGCAGTCATTATTCGTCGATTATTATTGAACATTTATTAATCATTCTTGATTATTCATGAATATTTTTTCTTAATAGAATCGTACAAAGGTCATTTTGGTCCTGTTCATTGYGTRCGCTTCTCACCAGATGGYGAGTTGTATGCGTCTGGTTCTGAGGATGGTACACTTAGATTATGGCAAACAACTGTTGGTACGACATATGGTTTGTGGAGAGCTGTACAAACAACCAATGGAAATAGCAGCAGCAGTAGTAGTAGTGGTGGTGGAACAYCTSTCAACTCTTAGAACGACATATRATAATGAACTCAGTGCTAGAATGGTYATATTTTACCAGTGAAATACTTTACTAGACCAGTATTACAAAGACTATAGGCTGTAGTAA